TGTCTGTCTTCTTCCTCTGCACCGATGGTTTAGGAGATGCATATTTTGGCCACCTGATCTTGGAGACCTTAAAAGCAACAGGGCATTATCTCTTTTGTATTTGAATAGTCAGATATTTAATTTGAATGTAAACTGTGCCAAAAATACTGACCTCTGTTTGCAGCACACCGCGACAGAACCTCTTCTCATTTCCTAACCTCGCCTGCAGAGGTGGGGTAGCTCCATCACTTAAATCCACTCCACGTGTGCTCCGATATGACTCAGAGAAATTCTCCATTTCCTCCTCATGATTGTTGGTAGATTGGATTTGAAGAAAACTCTCTTGTCTGAGGGAGCGAGGCAGTCGCCTGGCTCTCATCACCCGCAGCTGAGCAGCGTGATCTTCATCTTCTTCGCTCTCGTCTTCAGCCACCACCTCCTTTGTATCCACACCTACTTCAGATTGAAAATCCTCCTCTTCTCCTCCTGTTTTGCCTTCTTCGATTTCATCCTCTTGCTCTAGCTCTTCCTGTATGGGCTCCAGAGGCAGTCGCTGTTCACCATTTAGATACAGAGAATTAACATAAGGCCATTTCATGACACATTGATAGGATAAAAAAGTGGATTTTCATACATTTTTCATACATGAAGATAAAAAATAGTGGTTTAAAACTTACAAATTGCAGCTGGATGTCCATGTAGCTGGATGGCTGAGCTTCCCTTTCATGTCAGGATCCTGCAGGTTCAGGTTCTCATTAGCTGATTATTTAAATCAGGTGTGAAAGCCTGATTGCAAACAGATGACAAGTGGAATCTGATCTCCTTTTTAACACATGAAGTGAAAAAAAAAGTGATTCGAGAAAATCAAATCAGTGTGTTGACATATCTACTTAAAAGCAAATTTTGAAAAGGTATGAATTTATTTAACTAGAGTCCTACTCTAGTTGTGTAAATTGTAGCCTGTAATGTGGTCTGCAGCTCCGTAGGGAGTTTTGTAAAATAACGGAAAAAAAATTCAGAGCTTAACCCATTCTTAAAAAGTTCAGGATAAAAATTTCCTAAAAGAAATTCTGGAAAAAAATCTATGTAATCTGGCATGAATTATAGAGAACAAGGGTTATGTGTTAATTTGGTACACTTCCAATACTGGAAAATTAATGTAAAGCTAATTAATACAACCTTCAGATTATTTAAGTCAGCTGAAGTTTAAAAAAAAAAGCAATAATTGGAAATGTATGAAACTCCAAGGTACCCTGTGGAGTTTTTGACCTCTAGTAGTGCTGTGTAGCTTTTTCTTTTTTTTGGTGATGACACACACCTTCCTCCTGACACTCTCACACTATTCCATTGACTGACAGTTGGTTGTGGGGATGTGCAAAGAAGCGCAGGGATGTGCCAATAATGGCGGTGAAGAAGCAGACTGCAAGCTTGAAGACATTATGTAAATGTTAAAATATGAACTGGCTCTATGATGATGGACCTCTAAGATAATTACAATGGGCCTCATTCACTAATATATACATACATGTTCTTACCTTGTGCACAAATTAAGTGAAGCGTGTGCACCTGTTCTTACCTCTGTGCATATGTTAGTGAATGGAAAGCAAGGCTAGGTGTCTGAACACCTGCATGAAGGTGATTCAGAATCTTTTATACCCTTTATATATGCGCAGTTTCATGTCACTAAAAATGGTGGGAGTCAATAGAAACAATGAAAACAAAACACTAGGACTTGAATATTTTACTTCTGGTAATAATTAATAAGGATGAAATGGTGTCAGTTTCATAGATACATTTGACCAATGCATTAGTACCTTAAAGGTTTTGAATATTTTTGGACAGCCAGGCCTTCATCATTTGTGCACATGGTCTGAGGCAGTTCTGAATTTGTTCGCAGAGTACGAACACGTACGTAAGAATATCTTAATGAATCCTGTATTTGTGCATAGTAAGTTCACACTGTTTGTGAAAGAGGCCAGAATTTTGGTAAGAATGATAAGCATTTTTAGGGGCCGGGCAGGCAGTCCTGCCAGGACCTTCTTGTTCTTGTTCTTGTTCTTGTTTTTCTGAGGAAATCCTACTTCCCATGCGCAAAAAATCACCAAACTTTGCACAAAGGTCCAGTCCTATGCCAGATTTGCTCAGCTGCAAACACAAGTCAGTAGTCCTGGTGGTGGCGCTACAGCAAGTGTCTAAAGTTCAAATCTTTCTTTTGTTTTTACAAGAAAACATCTTTCAAGTTTTAAAGTTTATAACGATAAATATTGACTAAACTTAAATCCTCAATACGCTGTCTGTATTTTCCCTAAAATAAGTTCCAAAAATACATAGTTACTCTAGGAGACATCCTATGGGATTACTATAAAATGAAATATTCACAAATAAAGTCTCATCAACAAGTTTTCTCAGTTGCTGAAATGATATTATTGATGAATACCAAAACCTGACTTACTCATGGTGACCCTTTTTGGCCCCACTGACAGGAGGGGGAGTGTTATTTGTGAACCATCGTTCACCTTGGATTCCCTTCATTGCTTAATGTCAACTTGAGCTTGGACTCAGGGAACTTGCACCATGACGGTGATAACAACAGCTGGACTTTTAAAAAAATCTTTTTTCCTTCAAAGTAAGAACTCCGTCAGGATAAATCAACTCTGCAACTCATTGCAAATTATTAATAACTGACCTGAATTTGTTGCATTTCACTCCAGAGCAAACGTGATTCCAGTACTGTACTACACTGAAAATGATTAAACAAGCCAGGCGTTTGTTGACTTAACCGTTACACTGCGTAACCCCAAGACAAATTCTACATCAGTGCTGGGAAAACAATTTTGGGCCCCGCACAGTGTTTGGGACATGCTGACACTCATCTGGCTGTGGCCTGTGGAAGTCCACTCTTTGGCATAATAAACCTGTCATTGTCTGCCATATTTTGCTCTGTAGCGTGAAAGCTGTTATTTTAAGAGCCATAAACGAAGGTGTGAGAAATGAAATTTTATAGAGTGGAACTAACAGGGAAAACTGCCCATAAAAAGTTATATTTGCTGATCGTTTGCTGTGCTGCATGCTGCGTTTGAGGTCTGGGGGACAGAACGTAAATATTGCCTCATACGGCTCATCCTAAAAACCAACAAAAAGGCTAATTTGCTCCCTCAGCCACCATCCTATACACCTACTAGTTTTATACCCCTGTATCTTATATCTTAACAGTCATAGTCATACTCATGTGGTATTTTATACACCAATATTGTCTTTATTACAAAATATTCAATAACCCAACTTTACACTGTACAAGATACAACATAGTTTACAGCTTTTGGCTATTTACAAAAAGTATGATCTGCATATCAAAGTGAATATATCTAAAAAGGCAGGTTGCAATCACTGTAAGCTTATTAAGTAAGGCAAAAACTTGAAACATGATGTATTTACACTTTTGCAGATCAAGTGAAAGTCCAACGCTGATAAAGATATAGGCTACAAAGATATCTGAAGTGCCTCGCATTTTTGAGACTGCATCTGAGAGACGTGCTAAAGCTTATATTCCTTTTGAGGAAAACTCAAGATGTAGCTTAAATATAGTGAAGAAAAAAAAAAAGCTGGAGTACGGTAATGTAGGCCTGAAAGACGACACTGCACCAAAGTTTCTGTGGTCTCGAGAAAATGTGTCAATGTACATGGAGCGTTAAAAGGCTTAGGCTAAAGGACTAGGTCGTGCATTTGTAGAAGTCGTGTCCTTATTGTATGTGCTTAAGTAATGTATGTGCTCTCTTCTGTGTGGATGAATGTCTTCCTGGATATCTACAAAGATGTCAGCACCATACATAGGGGTGTACTGGTCCGCTATGTGATGTTGATCCTACTTCATGACTGGTCCAGTTTTGGCATTAACTAGTTTCCATTTTAGGTCAACACCTGATCTGTTCCTTTCACTGACCTTTACTGCCTCCTCAGTGTCAAAGCCACCACTGTCTGTGTGTAGACTTAAAGGGATGTTCAGTATTTTTGAACCTGAACCCTTTTTCTTATGTTTTTGCATCTAATTGCAACAATAATTTTGAAATTTGTCCAGTATTAAAAGAGACCGCGGCAGCTGCAACAGCAAAACAGGCTGCAATGTAATCACTTGGGGCAATTGTCATCAATTTGCGTCCACTAAAAGTGCTCGAGAAATTAAATGATTTTCCTTATCTTTCACTGGTCTGCTTTTTAGTGTGTGTAACCAAGTCTCATTGGACAAGAGGTCTTGTTCTGAAATCTCACAGACTTTTCAACATTGTCGAAGTCAGCTAAATGTTCAGCCACGAGATTAAAAATCTTTTAGATAACTAACAATAAGTCACACTTTGTGTACTTCAGCACATCAAACTCTTACAAGCAATACTCTCCCAATCTCTCACTAACATTACCACTGTTGTTTTTACTGCAACAAGTCACGTCTCACAAATTACAGAATGACGCCCCGATTACACAGAAGGTGCCTTTTTAAAAACTGAATGCAACTAGTAAAAAAACGCTTACTGCACCTTTTTATTTTTGCCAGGCAACCACCTATCACGTCCTTACACTAACCTTCCCGTATCATCAATCAATCTAACGTTTGTTTTAAAAAAAAATTCATAGTAATTAGTAGCTAGTTAATAAAATGTTCAGGCAGAGGGTACTTGCTGTAGCTCTGGTTGAGGGTGAGAGGCTGTCATTAAGTAGTGTGTTGGGCACAGGGAAAGGGAGATCTGCGTGGGTACATGAGACCCTAAAAATAAGGGTGGATCACGGGGAGTACCACCAGTTGGTCCAGGAGCTTCACCTCCATGATGGCTGTTTCCAGGCATATTTTAAGGTGACTCAGGGGCAGTTTGACAACCTGCCGTCTATTGTCAGCCGTATAGCTCTGGATATCCAGCAACCACTACCACTGGTTTCTCCTCCATTGTTTACCAACCGTAAACTTGTTGTTGTGACCTTCACAGAAGGCCCGCCTCTCAAATAATCCATTTGGACAATGGGAAAAAAGCAGAGATGATATAGGGTGCTTTTCTGCTCTGAGTGGAAGTATTTTCAACTCAAGGAGTTCAGAGTGCTTTGGAAAAAATGCCAGGCACCTAGAGCGCAGAAACACAAAGCGGATCGCAACACACTCAGTGAAAACAATCAAAAGGTCCGCCTCCAGTTGCTAAAACGATTTCTGTGTGATCAGGGCCTGAGACCTCTCCTTGAGCAAGACTTCGTCACAGTAACAAACAGACCGGCGAAATGTAAGGAAGAACATTTCATCTCTCTGTAGGACACTTCCAATGACAATCTGAGCCTTAATGAATGTAAATTGACAGTGCACATTGCAGCCTGTTTTGCTGCTGTGGCTGCAGCGGTCTCTCTCTTGACACAAAAACATGGGAAAATAGGGTCCAGGATGAAAAATATCAAAGTTCTCCTTTAATACATGCCACATTATATAAAACTATTGTGAATCAGAGCTAAAAAAAACCCCATCAGATATTCAGGAAACCTTATTCTGTCTCTCCGGGGTTCAAAAAGACACTTTTTAAGTCAACTGATGACGTCTGAAAGAGTCCCGTATGCCAAATATGTTCAACCTAATGCGACATTTTCTCTCCTCTCGAGTATGTTGAGGCAATGCAAGCAGTAAAATAAAAGATCTATGGAAAGCTCAATACTTTGGTTTTCTTTCAACAGGAGTACCGTTACTATGGCTGTCAACTCTTAAAAAGTCATGCACTATTAACTGTAAATATGTCTCAAAAAAAAAGCCTATTTCATCCAGTGAGCTCTGAGTATAAAAAAGTATTTTTGTGCTGTTTCATTACAATTCAGAATTAACCACACATGCATACACACACTCACAAGTACACGCATGCATGCTTACACACACCAAAAAAAGAAACAACACCATTTTACACTGTTAAGTAATGCAATGTATCCTTGGCATAATCAGAAAGACAGTGCAAAAGCAATAGCATGGTCAGTCTTTTTCTGGATATTAATGCACATATCCCTTGTACATAATGGAATATGTACCACATAGAAAACAAAGATGCACGTTATACCTGGATCTGAGGGAACCCAGGAACACCACAAATCTAATCATCTGGTATAGAGATGTTAAAAAGAGGATTTGAGATTCCGGGTTTCTTTCTTCACTCCACGTTTGTCTTCCAAGAGTGGCAAGCAGTTAAAAATCCCTAAAAGCGAGTATGATTGTCTGTATCACCATGTCATTTCTCCGGAAGTTTGTATCCTGAATGAGCATATTCTGGGATGTGCCAGTAGCTCAGGATTTATAGGAAATACCTGGAGAGCCCTGTCTTGTCTCCTCTGGCCTCCACCCAGGGTTTCTTTCCTGTATTTTCAGTGAAGTTTGTTTCCCTGTCTTTCTTCCTACACTGCTACATCTGCAACAGCTGCCACAGCCTCGATCTCAATCTCTGTCACCTCCACGTCCTCTTCATCCTCCTCGCCCACTGCAGGCACACAGGACGAGGGCAGGCATGTCGCTTGGCTGTTGCTGCTGTTGGCGGTGTTCATCTGCATGTTGCTGCCCATGCTGGCGTACGCGGTCAGGCTGGCGGCGGAAGAGACGCTGCCCAGATTAGTTGGGACGCTTGTTTTGCCACAGGAGTGGATCCGGCGCGCCAGGCTGGCGGAACGCACCACTGAAGACGTGGTTGCTGTGCCCACGCCCTGAACTTTGCCCTCCAGGAAGTAGGTCAGCATCTCACCTTTACCCTTGACACTGACTTTGCCGCGACACACCAGGTCGTAGTTGGTATTCAGCAGGCGATAGACGTCTTCGGTCACCTGTATTGAAGGAACAAGGAAACATACATGTGTATCTATTCACATAAATTCAATCTGATAAAAAATGAATGTGTATTTATTGCTGTAGTAACGTTTTTCTGTTACTGATATTCCATGAACATCTACTGAATTTTGAATGTTTTTCAAATTTGACAGCAAAGGGAACATGGTCTATTGCATCAACATGCATCAAACTTGAGGTCCTGATTTGTGTTGGTCAACTTAGACATGAAGGATGCACTGTTTTGCATCCATTTTCATCCGCTTATCCAGGGCCGGGTCATGGGGGCAACAGGCCAAGCAAAGCACCCCAGACGCCCCTCTCCCCAGCAACGCTTTCCAGCTCCTCCTGGGGGACCCCGAGGCATTCCCAGGCCAGATGAGATATGTAATCCCTCCAGTGTGTTCTGGATCTGCCCTGTGGCTTTCTACCAGTGGGACGTGCCTGCAACACCTCTAACTGGAGGCGACCAGGAGGATCCTAATCAGATGCCCGAACCACCTCGACTGACCCCTTTAGACGAGAAGGAGCAGCGGCTCTACTCCGAGCTCCCTCCGGATGTCCGATCTCCTCACCCTATCTCCATGACTGAGCCCAGACACCCCACGGAGGAAATTCATTGACCATAGGTGAGGGCTGGGATGTAGATGGACTAGTAAATCGAAAGTTTCAAAAGCTTTTTTTGTTTTTATGATGTATAAATTTCAACTTTATAACTGTAGTTTTGATGTTTTTATTCAATTTTCCCTTCAAACACTAGGCCTCATGCAGAAACATTCTCTCAAATTTCTCTTAATTTTCTTTTAAGAGAAAAAAAAATAAAAGAAGTCAACTCCAGGTGCACTAAACACTCTTAACCATCAAAATCTACTCCTCCCAAGGTGCTGAATTATGACTCCCACTTTATCATAAGTCACCTACTTGTATAGGTAACACCCACTAAACACTACATAAGGGCAGGTGTTGTGACGTATGCAAGTACTTTGGCATATAAAGGCTGTAACAGTAACTTTTGCAGAAGTGGAATCCACATATTTTCAAATGAACTTAAACAGAGTAAACACTGATTTTCCAGAGTGTCTGTATAGGCGTTATAGGAAAATCCAAAACCCAGCAATAACAAAACATATATGATGCTGTATATTGTGTTAGCAACAGTGGTGGAGGAAGTATACAGATCCTTTAATTAAGCAAAAGTACTAATACCACACTGTTAAAATACTGTTACTTGAAAAAGCCCTGTACCTCAGTGGAAATTTGTCTTTTGGCTTCTCTCAAAAATCACCTTCACATAACAAAATGCACCAATAAAAACGTACAGTTAAACAATATATATGATACAATAGTACAAATAGGCAGGTAGGAGCAATAAATCAAATGAATATTAAAAGAGAGCACGTCTTATAAAAACAGTAGTGTTCATTCTGTGTTCATTGCCTGTATGGCACAGGGAATAAAGGACTTCTTATATATGTTCCGACTGGCTCTAGGGACCCTAAATCGACTCCCAGGCAGACGAGAGCAGCTCAAACTGTGAGTGTAGTGGATGTGAGGTATCGGCAATAATATGTTTAGCCTTCCTGCATACAGCCATGTCAAATACGTTGCTGAGTAAGGTGTTACTGAAGTAAAAGTATTAAGTACAATTCGGAAAATGTGTGTAAGTATCAAATGTAAAAGTACTCAATGTAGAAAAATTTAAATCAATTTAATAACTCAAAAACAATTTTGTTTGTATATCCCTTCCTGCAAATCAATCGCATCTCCCCTTATAATAAAATGACTTTTAGATAATTATCATAATCCAGTGTGTGTTGAATACCTGTATCTTTCCTGGCACTCCAGTGCTGTCCATCCTGCTGGCCACATTGACCGTGTTTCCCCAGATGTCATACTGAGGTCGCCGCGCCCCGATCACCCCTGCGACCACTGGACCCACATTGATTCCTGCATAAACATAAGAACATGTTAACAACAAATAAAAAGTACTAAAGAACAAAGGTTTCTCACGGTCACACTGTGAACTAAGGGTAGACTTACCCACTCTCAGCACAAACTCGTTGTATGACTGATAGTTGATTTCATCCAAGACGTCAAACATCTCAATGGCGTAGTCTGCGATTGTGCTGAGATGGTCGTAAACAGATTTTTTGGCCTAAACAGAGGAAGTATACAGAGCAGTTAGCATCTATGCATGAAATGACCCTTCATACTGGCTTAATTACAATGTACTGCATTCATTTCTAAGGACTCCCTTGAAAACAAGATGATTCATCTTAAGGAACTATCCTTCAAATAATTAAATAAAATAAATAAATACACATGCAACACACACAGAAGCATAAAATAACACGCCACCTTGGTTCCAATGGTGGGGACGAGGCCCACAGCTGCCATGTACGTACTGCCAATGGTTTTGATTTTCTCTATATCCTTGTAGCACTCCTTATCCATGAGCTGCAACACACATACATTCAAATAAACACACCAATGCAACACAATTCAAATCACAGAGAGGTCAAGGATGTTCAAAGTAAAAAAAAAAAAAAAAAATCAGCTTTCCACCTCATCAAAGTCGGCAATGATCTCATTCAGAAGTCTCAGGCACTCCACTCCCATGTTGTTGCCATCCAGCTCGATGTAGAAATCATTGAAGTTTGGGATCGAGGCAAACAGGACGCCAACTTGAGCGTAGGACTGATAGTATAGATCCTGACGGGACAAGACGTCATACAGTAAAACAGAAAAGAAGACATGAATCAGAAGACATCAAAGGTGCTTTATATATTGTCTGTTTATCTACCTGTTTGTCTGTTTGTCTGTCTGCCTGTCTATTAGCGAGGCTCACCATGTTCCTGGGGTTTGACAGTAAGAAGTGCTGAGCCACATGGGCCGGCAGGAGATTGAAGAGAATCCTCCTGTTGTCCAGCTTGACTTTCTCCATGCCGTCTCTATCCTCTTCCGCCTGACAGCAGATGTAGCACACAAGAAAAATATACAGATAGAGCCATGAGGACTGTAGCTTGTCTCACATTGTCACCACACGGGGTCAGTAGAAAGCCACACAACATGGACTGTATGTGTCATAGTTGAGTAGACTTGGCTATTACATGACTAATGCAGCTAGTTAAATAATCATTTAGCTTAGAATTCAGCTTTTGCAATCCCAATATGCAAAGCAGTCCTTTTATAAACACTCCTGGTGCCAAATGAAAACAAGCTTCCTACCCTTGTTTTTTTGCCAAAGAACAGACAGCTGGCAGCCTATAAATACAAACCCTCCATACATCCCCCCATAGTTCACATGCATAAAAGCTGAAATGGCTGCATTCCTATGGTACACTTGTATTAAATCTTATGTTAATGATATTTAAGCCTCACAATATCCACAGCCTGTTTCACACACACTGATACACACACTTCCTGACCTGCACAGCCCATAGGAAGTCCAAGCGTAGTTTGAGGTCAAGTTGCCTGGAGTGGAGGGCCAGGGCACTGACAAAGAGCAACAGAGACAGGATGGGCTCGTAGCCCCGGATGTGGAAGGACCCCCCACTGTGGAAGAGACCAACACACAAGTCAGCACCGGAGTGGACCACACACAAAACTACACACGAAGGTTGAATGGACCCCCCACAGTGTCCTGAGAAATCGCAAGGTAAGTTTTATTAAAGGAATAGTTTACTCAAAACAATACAAATTGTACGTATACTCTCTGTGGTCCCAGAATAAGTTTTATATCAAATGGTGTAAATATGGTCAGAACCCAGTTATATCCCAAACACACACAAAAACGTATCGAAATGGTGGCTTTCTACTTAAGATTATTAGCAAAATTATTTCTGTCCTTTCAAAGACACAGAGGATCTGAACTTGAGTAACCACCTAATAGTAAAAATGGCAATAAATAGTCTTAACAGACCTTTATTTATTTATTTTTCATGAATGGTTAACTCAGTGGATTCCAACTGGTCCAACCACGGGGTCCGGTTTTCTCCTTAGTCATTATTTCAAGGTCCACACAGTTTAATAAACTCAGCGTCATACATGTGTTTTGGCCATGTCGTCAAGCTAGTTTGTCGTCTCTGTCAAGAAGCTGTCCGGTAGTCGCTCACTCTACAGCAGGAAACTGCACTCCAAAATAAAAGCTCTGTGCTAGAAATTCACTGTACTTCAAAAATAAAGAGTTTTGTTTACTTGCAAACTTGATACGAGTCAATTGCGGTCCATTCAGAATGGACCCACGACCCACTTTTGGACTGCAACCCACCAGTTGGGAACCACTGCTTTAAAACACATTGTACATGTGTATATTGTATTGTATTTATCGGCATGACTCAAAATATCCTCAATTTCTGAAGTATCTCCAGGAAGTAGTTCATTCAAAACCTCCACATATTAATAAACAAACAAAAAAGAAACCTGGTGGAGTCAGATAACAGTAATTATAGATCTAAACATCCTAGAAAAGTTATGTTCATTAGAATGGATGGGGGATCTGAACAGGTGAGTGGAGCCCCCCAAAAATGAAAACTAATAGAGAGTGCAAAATAAGTAATAAGTAATAATAAGAAAAATCTTTCTAAAAATTCCAATGCAACATTATTAAGGTGTCGTGAATCCTATGGGGGGCTCATGGAAATCCAGTCACAAGTATCTTAGTTAAACTGTTACTTCACAAAGCAGTTTTGGATTATACTCCCATAACTGCCTGACTTGACTTGACCTGACACGGATTTCACTGTGCAATGCGTGCTCACTGAGTGAACACCAAAGTCCTTCATGGAGAATGCTGTTTTTATCAGTAGTTCAGCAGAACTTGTTGATTTATTTTCCGGATGCTCACTTCTCCATAATGTCATTCGATAGAAAACTTTTTCTGGGACCACAGAGAGCCTAAGGAGGTGACTATTTAATACGATATTGTTTTTGGGTGAACTACTCCTTTAAATAAATAATGGAAGATAATGTATATGTATTGTTTTACATTAAAAAACAAAATGTTAAACTCAGGAAAACACATGAATGAAAGAGCTTAAATGTGCTAGAAGTGTTGGACCGCACAGCATTATATTACTCACTGACGTCTAACTGCATCTAAACAAAATGAGCTTTTCAAAAGGGATCTTTATCTTAATAACCTTAACAAATTCAACGTAATCACTTTTCAGAGGCCCATTTATGATCTGAGCTCCAATAAAATTGGCCAGGCCCCTCTGTGCTGGGTTGAAACAGCTAACGCGCTCCCATCACCCAGCCCACATTGTCCTTTCAGGCTTCTGATTTGGAACTAATGAGCACATGTGCTGCTTCAAAGGGTGGAAAATGAAAGAGTGTGTGGGCTGCAGACAAGCAAAGACTCCTACACACACATACATCTCAGCACATGTACTGTAAATGTTCTTCCAAACGCCTGGTCATCCGTCCCCTCTCTGGAGCAAACAAACACGTGGCTCGACATTCTCCGCCAATTGTTGACTCATGTAACTTCCGGAAATGACAGAAATAAAGTGCAAACAAACAGTGTTTTGCATGACTGTGTGCGTCTTGGTGTCTGTGGTCATGTTGTGCCGTGAACCTCTCACCCTGCAGTCTTGCGAAAGCCGCTGAGCTCCAACACGGTGACATACAGCACCCCCAGAAGGAGCATTAGCGCCATCTTTGGCAGCCATGACACCCGCAGGAAAAGTGCCAGGGTGAGTGTGCCCACCACACAGGACAGAAAGGCGTAGCGGGCACCGTCACAAGGCAGCTCCGCCATGGTGTGGTTAGCGCCGCCGTCCAAATCGATGATGACGATGGAGCTGTTGGTGTTGGCACTACCCCACAACCAGGGCATACAGCCCACCTGACAGAGGCAAATGGAGGTTGCATGTGCATAAAGATGATAACGTAGAGAGTAATTCAGTGGTAGCCTGCTCTAACAACTCAACTGATATATGACTGTAACAATAAAACATCTCACCAGCACAGTCTAGCATCAAAGCATACACTTTTTAAACCAAAAGGGAGCTACAATTACAGACCAAAATATGGCGACATTTTTCTTACTAGCTGACATACTAGATGACATTTTTACTGTTGCCGTTCCCACTTACCACACAGGCCTGGGCAACAGCGTAGATTAAGAGCACTATGAGAATACAGAGAGCAGTGCGAATCTGAATGGTCAGGCACCCTGGAAAACACTGAGACAAGAACGAAGAAAAGTTAGGTGAAGGAAACCAGCAGCATGAGGAACATTATATGATGTGTAAGTAGCAGAGTTATTATAGTTTTGTATTTCTCATGAGAATTTATTTTTATTTTCGTTTCTGATTTTTGATTTCAGTTCAGTTTAGTTTCAGTGAGTTTCCAAAGTGGGTTTGTTTGTTTCAGTTTGGTTCTTATTGTTTAAATTGTTTTATTAGTGTCATTATTAGTTTTTTCTAAGCTATGATAATTTGGGGGGTATTTGTCAAGGGCAAAGGTCTGCCCCCTAATAGTCAACCAAATCTTAGTTGACCAGAAAGCTCATTAGTTGGCAAGATTTCATTGGTTGCTTTCTTGCCGAAAAAACAAATAAACCAACTAAAAAAACAAATGTGTAACTCTAATAGGAGCTGCGCCTTGTCAATATAAATCAAAACCTATATGACTGAACCATGTGGGAGTTTAATTTGAAAGGACAGACACAGGAAGTTGCCACGCTCAGCTGTTTATTTCCAGGGCTGGTACCTGCGGTTATTCCACAGGCTAGTTAATAACATGTCGGGCAGGAAATCCAAAGTGTGGGATCATTTTGAGAAGGTGAAGGACGAACCCAAGGTGATATGTAAACTCATCTTCATTGGTCGACTACAAACATGACGTATCATCTGAAACATGGAAGTAGCTACATGCCCATTAGCCCACAGCGTCATTAACAGGCGGCTCGCTCAGTGTGTGACGTGCACTTGTAGATAAAATATAGGCCTATATTAATGAAGGTTCATTAGTACGGTTTTGTATTTCTCTGTAATGTAGCACAGTGTTAACAATGTTACTGATACTATTCTTTCTCACACCTTCAACTCAAACCACCAAAATATATCGTTTAATAATTAAATTAATGCTGTAAACATGCAGGCGACTAGTCGGCTAATGGCCCTAAATGATGACTATTTGTCGACTAGGAAAATTCTTAGTCGGGGGGCAGCCCTACTAAACATATATCCTGGGGGCAACCCTATATCCCTATATCACGGGCAACAGCTCTGAGGGATAGTCCTACAGTCACCTGCCAATGACATGCTCCGTCAAAACTTGTGACATCTGTAGCTTTGTGTTGTGTGATCAAACTGCACTGTCTTTTATTGTGACCATCCCAAGGCACATATGGGAAGTAATGATGCTGTATAATCAGCATCCTGATGCGCCACACAGGTCAATGGATCATCTTAGAAAAGGAAAGTGCTCACTAACTTGAATTCTAATAAATTTGCGACCAAAATTTTAGAGAAATACGTCATTTGTGTGCTTGAAAAGACTTGAATCTTTAACTTAAACCTGTGAGAAATGGGAGCAAAAACAAAAGTGTTGCTACAGTAAGCTATATTTTGCATGCACATAGTGATGCAGACCTTTTCATTACTTTATATACAAATGTCAATTAGATGTAATCGTAGCAAAGGTTAGTAGAGAAAAGAGAACAAGAGTGAATAAAAGCCACAAAGGGTAATATAAAAAAAACTTTTAAACTGATGTGGTCAGGAGCTTAGGAGCTTTGAGAACGACCATCAACCTCAACAAAAGCTGAAATTAATAGACCAGCCATCTGAGTTTAAACACAGCACAGAGGCTTAGAAAGTAATCTTGAAGCCAATGAATACTGAATCGCTATGACATGGCTGTATAAAATACATTTACATATTTCTCTTTAGTCAGCAAAAAGAAAAAGAATCATAGCAGAGAAAAATTTAAATGAAGAAACTCGCCAGCTCTCTGAGGCACCAGATCAGAGAGAAGAAGTTAACGTGTGAGTAAAAAGTGAAAGGAAGACAAGAGGGATAAGAGAGCAGCTGTATTTACCTGTACTCTAGTGATATGCAGGTACATGATACAAGCTACTAGGAAACAGATGCAGAAGACGAGAAGAACAAGTACCACTGTGCCCCTGAGTGGGAAAAAAATGAGAGAGGAAGATGGCAGGGTTAGTTAAAAGACCTGAGCCAATTAAAGAGATGCATGGAGAGAGAAAAAGCAATAGAGAGATGAAGGGACAAGAAGAGAATCTGCTGTACATACTGTGGTATAATGAGAAGATAGACAAGGCCAAACAAGGCAGCTAGGATCAGAGAGAGGACCACTGCGCTGGTGAAGTACTCATCAGGAACCTGGTGGTACTACGTAATGCCAGAGACCAGATAAGAGTGAGAACCAACATATTCATTCAGAGGCTGCATCCTCAACATCTCACTGCTACAGGCGTCTGAAGTCTCTCACCCTCTGCTCGCGCTCAGAGCACTTATACATGAGTGTGAGGAAGTTGAGGTCTGCTGTGTCTGACTCGGTCTGGCGGGCCTCGATCAGACGACCGATGTAGCGGTTGACCCGGGTTCTGGGGCTGCTCTGGATCACATTAGCCTGGTTTGTGTTGGAACGACTCCTCAGCTTCTGTGGAGCCGTCCGCATGGCCCTCCGCTGGTGGAGATAAAGAAGAAATCCTCACTTAAAAAATGTGGAACTTGAAAAACGACAGTGTGATGATAAACAGGCTGCAATGCAGCGCCCTGTATTCGCTCCACTACTGGAGGATTATCATATTAGGAACAAGGGTGAATAAGAGTCAACAATAAGCACGGGCAGCTGATTATACTTTCAAATTAGGACATTGCCTTCACACTTAACTTCATTACTGAATGCACCCCACTGTGTCTAAGTGTCTTCGGCAGCCAAAGAGAGCAGCTTTGCAAAACATTGGGCATTGGAGCAAAGCCAGAGAGTTAACATGGCAGAGTGTGTGTTTGTGTGTGTGTGTTTGTGTGTGTAGGTGGGTGTGTGCACATGTAAGTGAGCATGCTGGATGAATTGTGTAGCTCGGTGGCACAGTAGGGGAGCAAAGGGTGAGCAAGGATCACCAGACTGTTCATGAGTTCATGACATGACATGAATGTGTACAGCTCACTGACTTCCTTGATTTCCTTCGTTTCTTCCTTACTTCCCTGCTTCCTTCTATTCTTTCCTACTTCCTGCCTCCTCCTGTTCCTCCGTCTATTCCTCATTACTTCCTTCTCCCCTATCCTCCTTCAGTATATTCATCATTTCCTACTTCTGCATGTTCTTCCTTTCTTCCATCTTTTCTTGTTTCCTTTTATCCTTCCTCAGTTTCCTCCTATTTTCCCTGCCTCTGTATATTCTTCCTTCTTTCCTTCCTTCCCTGGCTCCGTACATTCTTCTTTAGTCTCTTTGTCCTTCCTTGCTTCGATCTATTCTTCTTCACTTCCTACTTTCTCTCCCTGTTCCCATCTATTCTTTATTACTTCCTTTTTCCCTTTCCTGCTTCGCTATGTTCCTCCTTACCTGCTTCCACATATTCTTCCCTACTTCTGTCTTTCCTTTCCCACTTCAGAATATTCTTCATAACTTTCTTCTTTCCTTCCTTGTTTCCATCTATCCTTCCTCAGTTTTCTCCTATTTCCCCTGCCTCTGTTTATCCTCCCTTCTTTCCTTTCTTCCCTGACTCTGCACATTCTTCCTTAAGTCCTCTTTCCCTTTCCTACGGTCTATATTTCCTTTCTCTATTCTTTCCTCTCCTGCTTCTGGCTATTCTTCCTTACTTCCTGCTTTCTGTCCTTGTTTCCATCTATTCTTCATTTCTTACTTCTTTCCTTTCCTGTTTCAGTATATTCATCCTTCCTTCTCTGTTCTTCTATATCCTTACTTAATAGCTTCCTTGACCACTTCCATATATTCTTTTTACTTCCTTCTTTCCTTTTTCTGATTCATTGTATTCTTCCCTACTTCCTTCTTCCCATCTATCCTTCCTCAGCTCCCTCCTTTCTCCCTTGCCTCTGTATATCCGCCCTTCTTTCCTTTCTTCCCTGGCTCTGTACATTCTTCCTTTAAGTCCTCTTTCCTTTTCTGCTACCGTCTATATTTCCTTTCTCTATTCTTTCCTCTCCTGCTTCTGGCTATTCTTCCTTACTTCCTGCTTTCTGTCCTTGTTTCCATCTATTCTTCATTTCTTCCTTCTTTCCTTTCCTGTTTCAGTATATTCATCCTTCCTTCTCTGTTCTTCTATATCCTTACTCAATAGCTTCCTTGACCACTTCCATATATTCTTCCTTACTTCCATCTTCCCTTTCCTGCTACCACATATTCTTCCCTACTTCCTTCTTCCCATCTATTCTTCCTCAGTTCCCTCTTCTCTCCCTTGCCTCTGTATATCCTCCCTTCTTTTCTTTCTTCCCTGGCTCTGTATACATTCTTCCTTAAGTCCTCTTTCCTTTTCTGCTACCGTCTATATTTCCTTTCTCTGTTCTCCTATATCCTTACTCAATAGCTTCCTTGACCACTTCATATATTCTTCCCTACTTCCTTCTTTCTGTTTTCTGCTTCATTGTATTCTTCCCTACTTCTTTCCTTTTCTGTTTCAGTATATTCATCCTTCCTTCTCTGTTCTACTATATCCTTACTCAGTAGCTTCCTTGACTGCTTCCATGTATTCTTCCCTACTTCCTTCTCTCCCTCCTTGTTTCCATCTATTCTTCCTCAGTTCCCTCCCTTCTCCCCTGCCTCTGTATATGCTTCCTTCTTTACTTCCTTCACTGGCTCTGTACATTCTTCCATTCCCTCTCTTTCCTTCCCTCCTTCTGTCTATACTTCGTTTTCCTATTCTTTCCTTTCTCTGCTTCTATCTTTACTTCCTTACTTCATGCTTACTTACTTCCTTGCTTCCATATATTCTTATCTTCCCTGCTCCATTACATTCTTCCTTCCTTCCTTTCCTGCTTTTATATATTCTGCCCTACTTCCATCTTTCCTTCCCCACTTCTGTATATTCTTCCTCACTTCCTTCTTTCCTTTCCTCTTTCAGTATATTCGTCCTTCCTCTCTGTTCTCCTATATCCTTACTTAATAGCTTCCTTGACTGCTTCCATATATTCTTCCCCACTTCTTTCTGTCCTTTCTTGTTTCCTTATATTCTTCCTCCATTCACTCCTTTCTCCCCTGCTCCCTTCTCTACTTCCTTTCCTGGCTCTGTACATTCTTATTGTCCTTATACCTTCCTTCCTTCTCTGCTTCCATCTATACGTCCTTACTTCATGCTTACTTCCTTCCTTGCTTCTGTATACATTTAGTCTTTCTTTCTTCCTTTCCTGCTTTTATATATTCTTCCCAACTTCAGTCTTTCCTTCCCCACTTCTGTATATTCTTCCTTCTTCTTTCTTTCCTTTCCTGTTTCAGAATATTCATCCGTCCTTCTCTGTTCTCCTATATCCTTATCCTTACTTCCTTCTTTCCTTTTTCCGCTTCCATGTATTCTTCCCTACTTCCTTCTTTCCATCTATTCTTCCTCAGTTACCTCCTTTCTCCCCTGCCTCTGTATATTCTTCCTTTCCCTCTCTTCCCTCACCTGCTTCTGTCTATACTTCCCTTTTCTATTCTTTCTGTCTCTGCTTCCATCTATACTTCCTAACATCATGCTTACTTACTTCCTTGCTTCCCTTTATTCTTACCTTCCCTACCCCATTACATTCTTTCTTCCTTCCTGTCCTGCTTTTATATATCCCGCCCTACTTCCATCTTTCTTCTCCACTTTCAGATATTCTTCCTTACTTCCTTCTTTTCTTTCTTGTCTCTATCTATTCCTCCTCATGTCCCCCTTGCCTCTGTGTAGCCTATTTGTCCTTCTTTCCTTCCTTCCCTGCCTTTGTAGATTTTTCCTTTCTACCTCTCTTTCCTTCTCTGATTCTGTCTATATTTCATTTCTCTATTATTTCCTTCTCTCATTTTTGTCTCTTTATCTTTCTTCCTGCTCTTCCTCCCTTGTTTTGTCTGTTCATCCTTACCTCTTTCACTCCCCTGCTTCATCCTTCCTTCCTTATTACCTTCCCTGTTTCTGTTTATTCTTCCCTCCTTCCATCCAGTCTTTCTTCTTCCATAATCTATCCATTTCCACCCCTTATTCCTCAGTGCCTCCCTTGTGCTTTGGTTTTGTGTTATTTATGAGACAGCAGCACAGTGACCTGCCGACGCCGAATTCTCCTTATATTCCATATTGTGCTCAACGCAGCACAGCCGTGTCTGCTGCACCAAAAATCCTATTCATTCATCCCTTGTCCCTTATATTGCTCCTCTCCGTGCCTTGAATGCATATGTCATTTCACACCATTCAAGTGTGTGTGGTCTGAATGTAAAACAGCCGTTCAGCACAAGGTGCATGTATGACTTAACCTGTCGCCACTTTTCGATTTGTCTTTCATTTTATACTAATCTGCCGTCTGTCTATGATGTGAGGACATTGTCATTACTTGAAATGTAACTCTAAGAGGTGACACTATCATTTAGTGTGAGGTGGAGATCTACACTGGATGCAGCTGCAGAGGGCGATGTTATAAAAGTGGGGAAATGATGCCTAATCAACCTTTCATAATCAATATTTAAAACACAAATCTGCTCGATGTTTGTGATGACATGTGCTTATCCTGACCTTAACCATAACTGCTACATGCTTTATTGATCTGTAGTCTTAACCCTAACATAACCTCATGGGAACTATTTTTCAAGAAAAATACATAGCCAACACCTACACACACACACACACACACACACACCTGAAAATCTGGATTAAAACAGGTGGTGCAAGAATTGTACAGCTGCCCAACCACAAGATTTCCTTTCAGGCACACAAGGTCAAGTAAGCTCTTTGACATTAGGCCAGATTGCCAGTGTCACTAACAGTATATGTGAGGGATATGGTATGTTGCTCTCTGACATGCTGAGGTCATTATAGCTGATGGGATCATAACATCAGTCCCTGTCATCTTACGATAGATTACCCATCATGTGAACACCATATATTTACTGACTAAGAGGGAGGGTTTGTGAAGCCATTTAAATTACTAAATTATTGTCTCCTGCACTGTGGTTTGCTAATTCAGCTACCTCACTGCATATTTTCATTGTAAGCCTGGAAAAATATTTGAACATCTAGAATAGTGATTATTATAAAGTGGAATACTGGGTGTCATGAGTCCCAACTAGTGTGACATTTTGGTGTGTCACAAAAACACCTTAATGTCACAAACAGAGTCTATGAGAGTCTGTGATTGAGAAAAAGGCTGCAACCTACAATTATTCTGATTTGATTAATCTGCCAATTATTTTCTTGATAAATTGTTTGATTGATTTGATTTGAACTGCGCGTTTTGTCCAACTAACCATCCAAAACCTTAAAATGAATGACAAAGAAATGTGTGGCAGCTGTGAGGTTCCATTCTGCAAAAAGATGGCTCCCTCCTCAGTTGCTCTTCCTGAGGTTTCTACCATTTTCCCCCCTGTTAAAGGGTTTTTTTAGGGGGAGTTTTCCTTATCCACTGTGAGGGTCCAAGCCCTCTGAGGCAGATTGTGATTTGTGATATTGGGCTTTATAAATAAAATTGAATCAAATTCAATCAAATGAAAACATCCCTTGCTCAGACATCTTGTTTTGTAAAAGGAACAAAGTCCTGGAGCTTGCTACCTGATCACTTGAAATTTGCTGCACCACTTAAGAGAGCTGCCAAATCCTGGTTAACTCAGCAACAAACCTGTACTCATATCTAGTTTTTAAATGTAATGTTTTAATGTGAGCTTTTTAATGTGGACCTTTCTGTATTCAGTTTAACTCAGCAGTGGTGTAAGGTGGTTACAATGGGCCTCAGTTAATACAGTAGTTGATTAATATGACATGAAGGCAATAAACTCTTAATATGTCCTGCTGGTGTTGCAATGTTGTTCTATATGGAAATATGTCACTACTGCCTCTAATAGTTTTTAAAATTGTATGTCCTTTAATATCTCATCACTTTTGCCTCAAGTTTTAGCACCAAATCACAAATTTGAGGATCACTACATTCTTGTGACAAAAAAAAAATATGTAAAATCATTTCTTGTTGATGTGTTCAAAGTCTTTTAAACTGTGTGCCTTGTTTTATTTTTATTTTTTGTTTGCTTTTTGTGCTTTCTTGTATTTTAGGTAGCCTTTTGGCTAATTCTGGCATTTTCACACCATGTGTTTTTATTATTTTGCACTTGTTCTTCTTAAATAAACTTAACTAAACAGTGTGCGCTATTATGATGGACCTTATAGTGCACGCTATTGTGCACATATTGTCTCGTCACATAATCAAACAGAGATTCAACACTGGACAACATCAAATATATATTACCAAGCAATCAGCATCTGCATATGTTTATGTAGAATAATAAGAATAATTATTTATAATTTCTGTAGATTAAGCAGATCATTTTGTTATAGATGATACTAACTGTTTTACAAAGAAAATTTAATGAAGGTTCTTCTTTGAACATAGGCATATTTCTAAGGTAGCTATCACTCATGAGGGCCCATTCTCCGCCCAGCACATTGTTGGAGGGCCTGCTCTCTCTCTCTATGGGCCCCCACCTCACAGGCCCCAGTGCAACCAAACTGTCTGCACCGTCTATATTTATACCCCTGGTTAACCTTCTTTTTACCTCACTGTTTTAGTCTCTAAGTTTCATAAAAGCCATGCTAGGAATGTGTTTTGCAAACTAGCATCTGCTAGAAACACTGTGATACTTGCAATAAATAGCGGTTTTCATTTTATCCATGCATACTGTTTCTGTCCCTGTCAAATACACCAAGAATAAAGAACTAAATAAATAAAATTGATTCATAGATTATCAAAATAGTGACCACTTTTTTGTTTGTTTGTTTATAGACTAATCTATTATTTGTTTCCTAGTCTACAGCAGATATCTGTGTCCGTAGGAGACAGACAGAAGGAACTGGCTGTGCTGCAAATATCACTGCAAGAGGGCAATGTACAATATTCAGTGAGGTGACAGAGAGCATTAGTGTAACAGCTATGTATACGGGAGCATCTCGTACACACGCTAACATCTACTGTATGTCCGAGAGTTCACATTAAGAAAACCACTAAACCATGAAGGAATCCACAAACACACATCGTTACTCCTCTAATGTTTGCCAAAGGCCTCATGGATGATCGAAATACTCTGTTCTGTTGGAACAATGTTCAATAGAGCTTTAGCTCATGTCTTAAAAATGAAATTGTGGAACAGCCAAGTCCTGGTGTGACAGTGAAGCTTTTGTACAAGACACCCAGGGATATCAATTAAATATGAATGTTTCATATGAAGGAGATTAGTTTTAAATGCTTCCTAATGGCTGTGTGGTTCTACAGAAAACATTTGCCTGAGAGATATAAGTAGTTTTCACCACTAATGTCCTTATACTGTATGGCTACACAATATCATCAATAAAAACAATACAGTTTCAATTTGTGGTTTAAATAAAGGGCCACATTTAGAAATCCTGCTAAGTCAAACAAGCGTTCACTACTGAAGGAAACTCTAGACATTCAAACTGCATATCTTTTCGTCTCTACTCACGTAAATCACAGCACGAACAAACACAGAAACGTCAACACAGACACTGAGAGTTTATACCTTATCACCGTCCTCGCAGTTCATGACATTGGAGAAGGGAATCTCAGCCTTGAACATCTTCCTGCAGTGCATAAGCTGCACTAGTAAGTAGCACACAGTTTTGAACTTCATCTTTTTGGCGGGCTTTATATCCGAAAGAATCAATCCTGGGAATATCTGTCACCAGATAAGAAACGGGAACAAGGATTTAGTCATGATACCCCACACAGTAATATGTATTATGTAAGGGTCTATAAATCATGCACAGGCATTGGACAGTATGCACACGTGCTCATGCACACACACGCATGCAATCACTATTATCAGGCTCAGGAATTACACTAGAAAGTGGTTGAAATAAGGTAGGTCATTCCCTCAGGTGGTTTTAAAGTTTTAGGATTCTGCTGCCCTCATTTCTGTTTTATAGGCTATTTTAGAAAAAGTGAAATAGATTAATGATTTTGAGGAACTGTCTTCTGTAGTAAGAAATCAACAAGTCTTCCAACCCATACGACCACATAGGTCATTTGTTCCTGCCCTCTAATGTGACCCACAGGATGTTTTTTTTTTTTTTTTTTTTTTTTTGATGGAAACACAAAGTTGGAAGTGTGTTACTGAGCAGGAGTAATTAAAGGCACAATAGCAGAGTGAGTACTCAAAACAGCTTAGTCAGGGCACATCTTTCTCTGAGCCATGTCTTTGATGAAGCCTAACCATCAGCTCTATTAAGAGGATTAGCAAAGTCTCCGGCATATAGAGGAAAAAAAACACACGCAACTGGGATGGTACAGGTTCATGTACAGACCCATGTAACCTATGTGCTAGCCTTATGTTGCATAACATGAAACCTGCTGCAAGAAATGAAGAGGGGATGGGAGAGGCGAGGAGAGGAGAGGAGAGGAGAGGAGAGGAGAGATACAGAACCAAGACTGAAATTCCCTCTCCAGCTGCTTTCGGCACATCTGTTGGAGATGTGCATGTTTATGTGTGTGTGCTGACACACACATACATCTCTCTAAGTTTGTAGCACTGTGCAGATTTGAGATGATAGATGCCCGAGGCTTTATAGCTCCAGTCCAATCCATTACAGGCTGGGAGAGAGATCAGCTCAACAGCAAATGTGTGAAAGCTCCATCATATGATGCTGGATTCTTTAGTCAACACTATATTTCTGTTTGAGGAATGGTTTTATTGTCCATCTTGGCATAGAGGTAAAAACTGGTCAAGATAAATCTGTTTTTTTTTTACCTAGCCTGCTCTGTATGGTGGCCCTGAGAGCTCAACACACTGCAAGCTAAATAGACACAACTGCAAGATGTTTGTTTGTCTGCACGTGTTGTCTTAATTTGGAGTGCGTCGAGCTCTCAGCGCCACCATAACTCTGTCTTACCTACATAGGTCCAATAATACTGATTAGCATACGTCCTGCAGAAGCTTTGCTAATGTGTACACACTGTCTAGGTATTAAAGGTTCAACTAAGGCCAGCGTCTTATAGGATGTGTAATCTCAGGATACAACTCATGCCGTCATCTGAATTGTTTCCCTCTGCTGAAGGCTACATACGGTTTAGTATACATTTGTCAGCACTGAATTACAATGCAATACCTTCCGTCGGTGAGATGGCACTATAAAGAAGGTTTCAATTTCATGTTTTTGGAGGAAGGCGTTCCTTTCGTGACCGTTTCCAGGCTCCACCTCATAATCTCCATTTAGGCACTCCAGTGTAGATCTGGTGATGTGGACTTTTCTGTGGAGCACAGGCAGAGATGGGACAGGATAATACACAGCACAACTGTTATAATGCCAGATATAAAATATATCAAAATTACAATTGTTTTGGAATCATATACAGAAGAAAATGAATATTATCCTGAACTGTGTTATACTAGATACTGTGTATTACAGCAATGAAACAGATAACAAGACACTTCAGAAACCATGTCCTTTGGTAGACAAATGGAGAGACACGCTTTAGCAAATATGTCAGATGAAGTACTTAAGTTATAAAATAAGGGAAACTGATTGAAAAAAAAAAAGATCTAAGTCGTCAAATTATTATTATATAGGAAAAGATTATTGAATAGAAGCTACTGGGATTTTATGTCTTTGTATCAGGTCTAACAGTCATGCAAGGGAGCATGTTTTTACTCTTTTTTTTGTATTTGAACTTCATGTATTTAATTTCCTGTATTGTTTTTTATTTGTTTTTCTTAGCCTTATGTTGCTGTACAGGAAGAAATACTAAAGAAGAAAAACTGATTATGAACCATGAAATATTGTAGGAAGAACATTGAATATGAAATGGAATCAAAGATGTTTTTCTATGACACAATAATGATGTTAACATACTACGTTATCTATATCCATTTATAATTGTATATCAGTAGTTTGTTATTCTGATGTATCACTTGCTGACGCACCTATTCACATAATTTCTCACTGGAAAAAAAAGAATTTCTTCAATACTTGAGCTTTGTAATGAGATACATGAAATGATATGATGACAATTAAAAGTATAAAAAAAAAACCTAACTAGACTCATAGCCAGTGGCACCCCCAGAAACCCCCCCAACCCCCAGGGGTTGTCAAACAATAACAAGCTATTGCGACATGATTTATGCCAATGGATGATAATTAGAAGCGGACATTACTGTCTTTGAGAGGCTGTGGCATGCTCTTTTTTCTATCTTGTGAATCTAGACAATCTAAGACATCCATTGGTATCAATTATGACACAATAGCTTGTCAGGAAGGGGGCTTAATAATGCTCCAAAGTTAGATCGTCTAGTTTCAGAAGATACCAATATATACACAGTAACTTACAAAATGAGCACACCACAGCCTACAGACAATAATGTCAGCCTGTAATTATTTTTGCCAGGGGGTGCCAGTGCTAGGCCATGCTTGGGGGGGCCAGGTGCTACTAGTCATGGCCACTACAGATTCAGTCATCTGCTGAAGAGTCTATTTAAAAATGCTGCGAAAAGGTAGTTTTGCTTTCATTTTATTTTTATGTTAACAGGTGAAAATCAAAAAACACGCGGCTGAGTTTGGTGCACTTGTTTCCTCTGTAGTTTGCATTTATTCCCGATTTGTCCTAAAACAATTACCAGCATTAAGACAGACTCTTGGTTAAAGAATATACAGGACAATGTTAGACATAATGTTTCCATGTGGCGATTCTAGATCACATAATTGGTGTGCATGTGCAGTGTCCACAGCTACTGAGGCTTGTATTCATGTAAAATGTCCATTACTGACCCAGGTAGTCCTCCAGCCTCCATCACATTGGCTAGGGTCACATCATTGGACCACACATCATACTGCCATTTCCTGAGGCCCAGCACTCCGCACAGCACCCGACCTGTATGCAAGCCCACACGCATGTTTAGGTTGACTTCTGTGGCCTCTGCGACTGACCTGCAGGGGCAGAACACACGGGGTGTTATAGAGTGAGGTCATAAGGTCATATCTATTTTTACATCTCTAACTCTATCTTCAAAATGTCTATAATTAGGCAGAGAATAAAAAGGCAGCGGGCAAAAATCACACAATGCGACATTAAACATTAAACAAAGGACACTGACAGCAATATTCACCTACATTAGGTACACTGTTACTTTACATGATGTACATTATGTACTACTTTTCAGTATCTTGCTCAATATTTTCTCAACATCATGTGCAATATTACTTCTCATTGTAATATAACATTGATTATGAGGTGCAGTCTGTTTTTTCCACCATTTAAGTTCATTTTTAGTAACTCATTGTACTTATCTTACTCCTATTGTTACTCTATTAGGCACTGGTTTTGCTTTTGCTCCTTGAAAACACTTCTTATCTTGTATTTTTGTATATTCTGCCAGATATTTAATACTCTGTTGTTTCTAAAACTGGAACCAGTGAGTGACCCTGACCTGGGGAACCTGCTGGTTGTTACTGGTTGTGAACGTTAAATTATGGTTACTGTTCTTAGTGTCGCTGTAATTTGAGGCATTCTCTGACAGAAGAATTTCCTTCGGGATAAATTAAGTTCTATTGAATTGAATTGAATGATTGAATTAATGATGACGAGCACTGTACAGTTATTGACTGAAGACCTATTCACAGACTTATAATACATGTCTATAAATAATACTTGTCTGTCAAACTAAACTCTATATACACAACATGAGACATTGCTGTAGAATTTTTCATTATTATTTTATTTTTAATTTAATTTTTTTATTGCATTCAATTCAATTCAATTTAATTTATTTTGTTTTATCTTATTTAATTTAATTTAATTTAATTTAATTTAATTTTGTTTTGTTTTGTTTTTTGGGGCTTTGAGCACCACAAGCAGAGCGCCATCTAATTTCATTATTTTTGAGAGAAATCAGACATCTCTATGATTATGATTGATTTTGGGGTGAATTGTCACTTTAAAAACAATTATCAGTGTTTCTTTAACCAACATTTTTTACTATAACTGTGATAAAAACAATCTCCATGTACGATGATTGAGATCAGATACATAAAACTAAATAATATAAAACTGTAGCATAATGCGTAAATAGATGTGGCAATCGGTCACGGAGTGCAAAGGGAACAAACACTGTTCAAAATGGACAATGAACAAAACAGACTGCTAAGTTGAGCACTCCTATTTAATCAGTGTTGAGGAAAAAGTCTAATCTTAATTAACAGGCTTCTAGTCAAGTCAAGTTTCTGATTAAATCTTCTGCTGCACCTAAATCTCTCACTTCTTTTGGTCTTTTTTTTTTTTTTTACCATACTTCCAAACTGTGCAGGGTTTGCGAGGAAAACAAGCTCTTTCAAGCTCGATAAAATATCTTATTTTCTTTCCCCATTAAGTCTTTTTTCCTCTCAGCCAACTGTACATCTGCTCACTCAGATGTTCAGTGCTAGAATTCACTCGCAGCACACATGGCCGATCAGGCTGCAGTTTGCTCTACTTGAAGGAAATCTCATAACATGGACTCTGTTAAACAGAGTTTAGAATAGAATGAAGACTGAAGGGAAGATTTCTTTAGCTTCTATTTAGAGAGCCTAGATAAGGATTAGATCATCTGTCGTTTGCACTACTGAAATACTTCTAATTTAGTGCTATTAAAAAGTTACAAAATAACAGACTCAACCTAATATGAACACTCACGTTATGGTGTCAATCATGTCCAGACCCATCTCTACACAGCAGTGGGCGTGGTCCGTCTTGGGCTGGGTCAGTCCAGACACACAGTAGTAACAGTCTCCCAGAATCTTAATCCTACGACAGTGGTTCTCCTGCCAATCAAAAAAGAAAGATGAGCCAGTCAGTAACAAAATCATTTTTACCTAAACAAGTAGTGCCAAAGCACCTATGCCCTAAAAATCAACCTTTAATCATTGCGGTCAGCTCAGTTAGTGTTAAAATCATTATTAAACAGTACGAAAAGGCATCATTTTTTAGTTTAATCAAAGTTGCACCGGTGGTGTCTGAGAGCAGTGGTGCTTGAGTTAGGAATTCTGACATTTAATTATAGTTTATCCATTACACTGATCCATATCCTTAGTGTAATTTGTAAGTGTAGCTTCAAGCCATCCATTTCTGGAAGTTCCAAGGTCGATTGAGTTTATGGTTGCAGGAGTTATGGCTTCTCAAAATAACCTCATTCATTATTTTAAATGGAACATCTTCATCACAACTCTGTAATGTTTATAATATGTCAAAATATGTGACGCCTTAAAATTTCAAACAAATAGCAGTGGTGATGTAAAACTTTTTAGAGGAATGCTTTTTTTGGGAGTCAGTTAGCTAAAGTGCACCGATTAATATCTTATATCGTTTGTTTAATCCATGACAAAACGAAAGTGTGAAAATGTGATTTCACAGTGTGTGTGTGTGTGTGTGTGTGTGTGTGTGTGTGTGTGTGTGCTGGACAGTGTGTTGGAGTATTTCTTGGCTGGGAGCAGGAACTTTCCACAGGTTGCCTGCCTGGCAACCTCGAAGTGATGACAGCACTCTTCGCTCACCGCTCCTGGCTGATAAATACTCCAGCACATAACTCTCTGTAGTGTCTAGTCCTCATGCTACCTTCATATTTAGCATATAATTGTGCAAGTGGTAAAAATCTTCTGAATTAATTAAAAAAAACAAACAAGTGTATTCCAGAAAAAGGTTAAACTATGGCTTTAAGTCCCTCTTTTTTCTTCTTAGGGCCCTGACACACCAAGCCAACACTGGGCCATCACTCAATATCAGGCTGTCGATAAGCGTCTGTCGCCCTAGTTTTGTGGTGTGTCCTGCACTGTTGGCACTAGTCAGCCCGTGTCAGTTAATTCAGCATATTGCATCAGTGTCGGAACCTGCGGAGCCAGTTGGTGAGAGATATATTTCTGATTGGCAGTTCAGCTCAGTTAGAGAGAAGAGAAACAGAAGAAAGAGGAATAAACAATTAAAGTTGAGCAGGTGTGAGATCAGAGAGGTGTGAGAAATAAACTTTTTTAAGCCATTAAGCTCTTTAGCAGACATTGTTTGTGTGATTGTTTGCTAGCACATGGCACATATCCTTTGTTCTTTCAACACTGGTTTGTGTTGTTAATGTGCTAACTGGCTAACTAGCATCTTAAATCTATCTATGACCTATCAGTCTTTCTGTTGCTGTTTTTGAATGCCGAATACAGACTACCGCCACCCACTGTTATGGAGAGTTATTTTCTCTCATGCAGGCACAGAACGTACGTGCTAGTTGGCCGTTGGCTGTAGTGATGGGCAAAGCAGTTCTTTAGATGTTACTGAATCACTAGAATCAGTTGATTAAGATTTGTTCAAAAGATTCATTCATCGATAGCTTGTTTGGAGAAAATGTTCCCTATGAAAGTGTATCGCTGAGAAGAAATGATTTGAATCACTCAGGGATCGGGGTTACGTCGTTCACCAAGTGATTCATTCACCGAGTGATTCGTCACTCGTTAGGCAGTCCCTCCCTGCACCCTAGTTTCCCCACGACTCGCGAGTGATTCATCGTTTGAACGGATCGAATCGGCAGTTCCGCTACCAGCCTGCACACTCGCTGCTGAGCTCAACTGAACTGAGAAATGAACAAATCAGTTCCGGAAGTGATTCAGTTCAGTACGTTCACTCAACAGATTCGTTCTTTTGAATGATTCGTTCGTGAACGACACAACACTAGTTGGCTGTAGTCTTTGTGGTGTGTTCAAGTGCAGCTTCTTGGTCGAGACACAGGCGATGTGATGTGACGCAACAGCCGGCTTTCATTGCCACTAGTTCTTAGACATGGGTTTGGTGTGTCTGGCCAGGAAGAGGGGCTAACACATAAAGCATAAAGCAGCATGCATATGTATGTCACCATCAACAACTTGTGTTAAAGCTCAAAATTACCGATCACAGAGACAGTTGAATGCAACAGAGTTACAGTACCCAACCCAAAAGACTCGTATGAATAGGAGATATTGATGTCGTCAAATAAATACAGGCAGAGAGACAGAATAGGTCAATAAAAGAAAAAAAAAGTCAGATAAACTAATCATACAAAAACAGTTAGACAACATATATGATCATGTTTTGGATCTCCACATGGACCGGTATTTGTGCTGCATGTTCATTATCCCGTTCAAGCTCTCGAGACTTCAAACTCACACCAACACAGAAATGGTTCCAACAATGCAGCACTGAATCAACGGATCAGTCTCACTTTAGGGAATAAGGTGAGTCACTCTCTCACTCTTTAGGGACAATAAGCGGCAGCATGAAAAGGCAGCTTACAAATATAACCCATTATTAGAGGATATGAGCAACAGACAGAGATTTTACCAGGGAGAGTGGGTTACCGCGGACGCCTTCTCATAACCCTTTATTGTCTCCGTGGAGGTGATGTGATCAGTGGCCACACATATGAGGAGCACAAAGACTCATAATTATGCATATCGGTGGGCACGAGACAAGACGGATGCTCTATTTTTAACATGCCAGCCATGTGAGTTTCAGAAAAGAGAGATAGCTAGGGCTCGTTCGCGGCAACTATTTGCCTCATGTAGCTTTGCATGCTGTGGTCATGCTCTCGAAGTGAGCAGTGACATTAAAGCACATGTGCTGTTTATGTAAAACAGAATCTTATACACAGGAAAAAGCACTCAGTAGCAGATAAATGAGGCAATACAGAGAGAGGTATGTTGCAGAGTGTTAAGCAGCCCTGTAGTTTTTCTGTAGGATAGATTTTATGTTGAAATATTGTCCTGAATATTGAATTGAGAATTGAAATAATAACTACTGATCTTAAATGAGGAATCAAAATGATTTGAGATCAATTAGGTACTTAGATTGACATGTAATGCCATTATATATCAGATTTATGACATGTAACTATACACATATTAATCTATATTCACTAACCAGCCACTTTATTAGGTACACCTGTTCAACTGCTTCATAATGCAAATAGCTAATCAGCCAATCACGTGGCAGCAACTCAATGCATTTAGGCATGTAGACATGGTCTGGAAACTTCTGATCTCCTGGGATTTTCATGCACAACCATCTCTAGGGTTTACAGAAGATGGTCCCAAAAAGAGAAAATATCCAGTGAGTCAAAATGCCTTGTTGATGCCAGAGGTCAGAGGAGAATGGCCAGACTGGTTCAAGATGATATAAAGGCAACAGTAACTCAAATAACCACTGGTTACAAACAAGGTCTGCAGAAGACCATTTCTGAACCAACAACACCTTGTCCAACCTTGAAGCAGATGGGCTACAGCAGCAGAAGACCACACCAGGTGCCACTCCTGTCAGCTAACAACAGGAAACTGAGGCTACAATTCACACAGGCTCACCAAAACTGGACAATAGAAGATTGGAAAAACCACATTCAGATGGAAGCATGGATCCATCCTGCCTTGTATCAACGGTTCAGGCTGCTGCTGGTGGTGTAATGGTGTGGGGGAGATTTTCTTAGTACCAACTGAGCATGGTTTAAACACCACAGCCTACCTGAGTATTGTTGCTGACCGTGTCCATCCCTTTATGACCACAGTGTACCCATCTTCTGATGGCTACTTCCAGCAGGATAACGCACCATGTCACAAAGCTCAAATCATCTCAAACTGGTTTCTTGAACATGACAATGAGTTCACTGTACTCCAATGGCCTCCACAGTCACCAGATCTCAGTCCAATAAAGTACCTTTGGGATGTGGTGGAACAGGAGATTCAAATTGCGGATATGCAGTCGACAAATCTGCAGTGACTGTGTGATGTCATCATGTCAATATGGAGCAAAATCTCTGAGGAATGTTTCCAGCACCTTGATGAATCTATGACACAAACCTGGTCCTAGCAAGGTGTACCTAATAAAATGGCCAGTGACTGTATATTATTTACTTATTTCTTATTAACTAACACAGTGTTTACTGTATTTATTATGCACACTTGTCCTGAGTAGACTGTAGTGTGTGCCTCTCTAAATCTGATATATCTTTTCCATGTGATATATTTTTGGTTCTGAACTTATTTCTTATGTAACTCCTTCATTTGTCTCTTGTGCTGCTGTATTGCTTCATCGGTTTCTTTCCTGGGGAGCAATTAAGTGTCATCTTGTTTTATGTTGTCTTAAAATACAAAGCATCAAATCTATGGTCAGTGGGATGAGCTCAGTTCTAAAATTAACATCAAAATATCTTAGCTTGAAAGTTTTTTTGTTACTTAACTCCATCATACTCAAGATGAGGCTTGTTCACAGCTACATTTTAAATGGACACCTTGGAATGGATATTAAAACCAAGCAGTCACAAAGGTCAAAAAAGACAAAATGCAGTGTTATTGTCATGAAGCTGCTGGAGAAATTCTGTGAGATGACACTTTATGCTATCCTCTGCAGGTGTCTCCCATTTTTATGTGAAACTAAAACTCTCTGTTACAGTAACAGGGCCAGTGAGATCTCTTCAGGGTTACTCAGGTCACGGCGGAGCAGCAACAGATGGGGCTATAGTGAGACATGGCTGAAGCTACAGGAAGCAGGGGAAAGCCCTGGTACTTACAGATTCTCCTACTCTGTACTTTTCCTGTGCTAATCTGCACTGTGAGGGCTTATAGGGGCTGATTCAGTCCCAAGCAGGATTACCACCGTCATGTGACTGAAGCATTGTGGGCAATCTGGGTGGTCAAGATGGGTACAGTGAATTAGGGACAGGTAAAGTATGACACCTATTTACAGTTGTCATTAAAGGAAGCACAGCATTTTTTTTAAAGGGACAGTTCACCTTAGAATCCCAAACACATATTTTCCCCTT